AATATATATATATATATATATTTTTTTTTTTAAATATTCTTATATTTTATTTTTTCTTAGGTTTTGGGTATAGAAGCAGCTAGAATAACAATAATAAATGAAATTAAAAAATGTGTAGAAGCTTATAGTATTGATATAGACATTAGACACATTATGCTCCTAGCCGATATTATGGCCTTTACGTTAGTTTATTCAAAGATATATATATATATATATAAATTTATATGTTTATTTATTTGTCTTTTTATACATATATATATCCTTTTAGTTTGCTACATTTTTATATCTTCGCATATTATATTATTTTATTTTATTTTTTAGTGGAGATATTTTAGGTATAAACAGGTTTGGAATACAAAAGGCTCGACAGAGTACCTTAATGTTAGCATCTTTTGAAGAAACCAATGAGCATTTATTTGTTTCATCATTTTTTAAAAATGTGGATGAAATAAATAATATAAGTGAGAGTATAATTGTAGGAAAAAACATACCTATTGGAACTGGAGCCTTTCAACTTCTTTATGATTATAAATTGTAAGTTTTGAGAAGAAAAAAAAATATATATTGTACATAGTATGGATATTATAAGAATATATATATATATATATATGTATTTTTATTTTTATTTTTTTTTCAGTGAAAAAGAAACGAAAAATTTAACACTACTCGAAAAGGCAGAAAGAGAAACAGCAATAAATTAAATATATCCTACATATATATATATATATATATATATATATATATGTTGTTTTAATTAATTATTATTTTATTTTTATATATATATATTTTTTTTTTTTTTTTTAAAATATAATTAATTGTGTATATTATAATTAACGAATTATTTTATTATATAAATCTATTAATTATTTATATGATTAATATATAATAATTATTGACGATTGTTTTATTATAATTTATTAAATTGTTATATATATAAATATATATATATATATTATTATTTTTTTTTAAATATTTTATAATGTAATTATATTTCTTTCCTTGTCAAATTTTTTTGTTGAACAACATTTTTTTATATAAAACACAACCCTTTTGAATAAAATATATAAAAGTATATATTTATAGGAATATGCACCTATTTAAAAAAAAAAAAAAAAAGAAGAAATTATATGTATATAATATATATATATATATATATATATAATATATATATGTAAATATATATGTAAATATATATTATAAATAAATTCTTAGTCATACATACACAAATTTTTAATTTATAATTAAAAATATCTTTATTTTTTATTTTTTTTTTTTTTATTTTAAATGTCATGGAAAAATGAAAGTATCTAAAAAACTGAAAAATATATTAAACAACTTGATATCTCAAAACAAAAGTGATATTTTTATATGTATAAGAAGAAGATATATATAAAAATAATAAACGTATATATAGGAATATGTACATATAATATATATATATATATATATATATATGTTTTGAATAAAGAAAATCCTTTATCTTAAAAAGCATATCATTCTTATATATTTTTTATATATATTTTTTGTATTTTTTTATTTAATCATACATACGAATGACCGATTATAAAGTAGCATCTACCTACATTGAGGAGCTGAAAGAAATTTGTAGTGAATTACTAAATGCTAAAGAAGAAGAAGTATTTAATAAGCTTAGTTTATATGACGAATTTGAAGAGAAAATAAAAAAAGTACAACCAATAATTACAAGAATTAGAATAAGAAGAAATGAAACTAATGAAGAAAAAAAGATATATGGAGAAAAGATGATAAAAAATGTTGATATTTTATTAGAAAGATTTGATATATTATATAATATATATGAAGAAGAATTAACAGTATTTAAAGAAAATTATGAAATTGAAAAAAATAGAAGAATTGAAAAAAAGTTATTAGAAGAAAATGAAAAAAAAAATAATGAAGAAAAATTGCTTAATAGAGGAAGAATTAGAACCCAAATAGAACAAGAAGAGATTTTGAAAAGGAATCTAGAAAAAGAAAATTTACAAAAAAAAGAACAAGAAGAATATGATAATAAAATGAATAGAATAGAAACTATGAAAAGAATTATTAAAGAGAAATGTTATTTTTTATATGATGAAATATCAAATGCGTGTAATAAATATGAAACTATTAAATATATTTATTCACAATTAAATGGAAATAATATTAATTTTAATAATATATATACTAATATTATTAATGATAATGAAAATGAGCTTTTATTAAATAATTCTATATATTTTATTGATTGTTTATATATGATTTATAAAAATAATGAATTCAAATTATTTAAAGAAGCATTAAAAAATTTAATAGAATATTTAGAAGAATTAGTTAAAAATATAGATAACCAACAATTAAAATTAATTAATCTTATGAATAAAACTTTTCAAAAAAATATACTTTCAAAAAAAGGTATCTTATTTTTATTTATTTTAATTGGTTTCGTTTTAAAAAAAACAGATGAAATTATACCACTATTAAAAAATATAAATACAGATATTAATAACGAAAATATTTATATTTATTTAGAAGAACCTAATATTACAACTAATTATGATCAATGGAAGTTATGGTTTCAGCATATACAAAAATGTGTCACCATACTCTGTACCTTTTTTAGACATATACATAAATTTTCTGATATCCCAGATGATGAAAAAATAAAATCCATATTTTTATACTTAAAAGAAAAATTTTCAAATGAACAGAATGTGTCCACATTAGGAATATGAAATATTAAAAAAAATAAATAAATAAATAAAATAAAATAAAATAAAATGAATATAACTAATTAATTAATTATTATATATACAAATATGCATATACATATATACATATATATACATATATATATATATATATATATATATATATATATATATACTTGTGAGCTACATTATTGTCTTATTTTTTTCACTTGACCCTTTTAATATATTTGCCACTTTTATTAATTCACTAAATTTTGCACATACATGATAATCGGACATTTTGTTTGTTATATATGTTTTGGATATATTAATTTCCACAATTTTTTTTTTTTTCTTACAAGCGAAATGACACAGATTTGTAGCTGTTGATACAGTAGATGATGTTCCAATTACTAAAAGTAAATCACATTTTGTTATTTCTTCTTCTGCTTCTTTTAAAAGATCTGATGAAACAACCTCTCCAAATAATATAATGTTCGGTTTGAATATTCCTCCACAAGGACATTCAGGTGGTAACTGATGCATAAAATGAGATGTTTTCTGTAACATGATTTTATTTAATTTTACAATTTTATTACATGTACAACATACTGCTTCAAACACATTCCCATGTAATGATATAACTTTTGTATTCCCACTTGCTTCATGTAATCCATCTACATTCTGTGTTATTACTGATTTTAAATAACCCAAACTTTCTAAAGTTGATAAAGCTACATGACCATTGTTTATTTCTATCTCATAATCAGAGGATATATCCCGTATTACTTCCCATATCTTTTCAGGATATTTCCAAAACCCCCATATAGTTCCATATATCCTTGGGTCATACTTACTCCATATCGAATTCGATGACCCTCGGAAACTTGGGATGTTACTTTCTGCAGATGTACCTGACCCTGTTAAGGCAACTACGTGTTTGCACTTTTTTATTATTTTGGCTAGCTCCTCCAAAGTAATACTTTGTGTGTCTTTTTTCAAAAAGGAAATCATTAAATTACCCATAGTATATAATTATTTTAATGCTATCAATTATATGTTATATATATATATATATATATATTTTTTTTTTTTTTTTTTCATATCATACATGTATATATTTTTTTTTTTTTGTGCATTGATTGTACTTTCTAGGATTATTAAATAATAGCAATATTATTCTACTTTATTTTTCATGTTAATATTTATAAAAAATATGTAAACTTTTTTTAGAAAAAGAAAAGCATGAAACAAAGTCTTTTTTTTTTCTTTTTTTTTTTTTTTTTTTTTTTTTTTTTTTTTCTTTCAATACAGTACACAAGTGTTATGTTTAAAAAAATTATGTTAATACCTAATATGTTGTATTATAAATTTTAATAAATTCAGAAATATAAAATATATATTTATATAATTATAATGTAGTGTTTTGAAAAATAGAAGTGTCTTAATAAATTATATAGAAAGTTGTTATATTATAAATCTTTTAATTATATATATATATATATAATTATATATGTATGTATTATTTTAATATTTCCATTACGAATATTATATCATATGAATTATATATTTTACACAATTTTTATAAAAACCATGAAAAATTAAAAACCCTTGTAATATTTGAACGAAAGGACCTTATAATTCAATAAATTATATAAAATAAATAAATATATATATATATATATATATATATATATATATATAATGTGTGCGTGTATATATAGTATTTATATTATTTTAAAATGTTAAATATCCATTTATTATATTTATTATAATATTATCATTTTGTTGTTTTATTACGTAAATACATTTTAAAAATAATTTTATAAATTTTACCTTTTTTTTTTTATATAATTATATGAACATTTATATAATATATATTTTTATTTAATGAAATTAAAATGACAATCAGGAAGAATATATATATATATATATTATGCACCTTCATGTTTCATATTTTTTTAACACCTTTAAATAAATACAAATAATATTTAAGATTTGTTGTAAAAAAATATACAATAATATTACAATGAATACTAGTATTGTCTTATAATATTGTAGTATATTCATTTGAAGAAATAAAATAGTAATAAACATATTATAAATTTATTTTATATCATTTATATTTTTATGCTTTCAATGTGCATAGAAAAATTAAGTGAAATTATAATTTTTCATAATTCCCAAACAAAAAAAAAAAAAAAAAAACCTTATTGAAGTTGAGAGAATAATACATACATATAATATTAGATATAAATACATATATAATATTTATTTATTTATATATTTACATATTTTTTATTTCTTGTATATTTGTTCCTCTCCGTTTTGTTACGGCAAAATCAACACTACTTAACAAGAAGCTGCCCTATTATGGGCGTTGAAAATACCGGGAATATGAAGAGAAATATCAATACAACTTTTATTTTTTGGAAAAAATAAAAAATTGAATGATAACTTAATTTAGGTTAAAAAATAAATAACGATAAAATATTCAAAAAAAAAAAAAATTAAATCGTTGAGTGTAATTTAACCATATATATATGTTTTTTTTAATCATGTTTAATATTTTAAATCTTATTATATACTTATTCTTTTTCCTCATTAACATAAATATATTATATATATATATATTATATATATATATATATTATATATATATATACTGCAATGTTTTCTTTTCGTTTATGTATATTAATTAAATACTAAAAAAAATTCATTTTTAACTATGTATATTTTTTAATATCAAAAACGTACCTATCGTTATTAAAGTTAATAAATATTAATGTAAATTTATTATATATATATATATATATATATATATATATATAATATATAATATATATAATATACTTTTTTTATAAAATTATTCAAATGAAAATTATTTTTAAAATGTTATAAAATATATATTAGTTTTTAAGAATTTATATTTACAAAATGTTTTATATTATATATATATATATATATATATTATACTTTTATTTTAACATTCATCTTTTTTAATTTTTTCTTTTTTTTTTTGCTTAAATAAAGATTATTAACATATTATAATATATAAGTTTTATAAAGAAATAACATCATCCTTTTTTATTAAAAATTAAAAAAATTAATTTTATTTAATATTAATATTTATGATATATATATATGCATACATAACATGCATAAAAATTCCAAAAAAAAAAAAAAAAAAAAGGATATTTTAATACATATTCAATTCATTCAACATAAAATAAAATATTATTATTATATTTACATATATATGTATATAATAATATTATATATATATTTTATCATTTTAGATTAGAATAAATTTTTTTATCTCTACTTAATGAACCTTAAAATAGAGATAAATATAGAAAAAAAAAAAGTTCAATCTCTTCTTTATTTTATATAAAAATATTTTAAGAGATTTTAATTTTAAAAATTTCCCAAACCTAAAATAATTTGATTATTTATAAATTATATAAAAATAAAATAATTTATTATTTATTATGTAATATTTCTTAAGATGAATTTATTATAAAAAGGTTGATTTTGAAATGTTTAATATTCTTATAATATATATATTATATATTGATGGCGTAGTAAATAAGTATTACAAGTAGTAATTAGGGTGTATATATATATATATATAATAATAATAATAATAATAATAATAAAATAAAATCCTTAAAATATTGTTGTACGTACATTTTATATGTTGATTTTAATGAATTGTAATTTAATTCACTTTATTTTTTAATTAAGATTAATAATATTCGTTGTAAATCAAAATAAATGTACTATATTTTATATGTTGTAATTTTTCAAAAATGAAAATATTAAAAAAAAAAAGCTTAAAGTCGAAAAATAACAAAAATTAAAGTATATAATATAACTATACATATTTTTTATTAATATTTTATTTTAGTATTTTTTTATTTTTTTATTTTTTTCGACCACACCTCAAAAAGTAAACAATTTCTTTTTTGTTTCATAAAACATTAATTTTTTTTTTTATACACATTAATGATTCAATAAAAAAATCGGTCTATTTTCAGGATATATTCATTCCTATTAATTTGGTCTAATTTTTTTTTTTTTTTCAAACACACAACTGATATATATTATATATCACCTTATTATTTTCTTTTCTTTTTTTTTTGTTAAAATGGAAGATGAAATTTTAAAGGCTTTAACTAATAGAGAATTAAAAAAGGTCGAATAAAAAAAAAAAAAAAAAAAAATTGGTATTTTTTTTTTTTTTTTTTGAATGACCCTTTTAAAATTTATATTAAATATTTAATTTATAATTTTGTAGACAATATTAGATAAAGCTAAATATATTATATCTCAAAGGAAAAGAATTATAACTGAAAAAAAAAAAATCATCTTTGCAAATGAAGAGAATATAATAACACCACTTGCCTTATGTGATAAAGAAGAAAATGTAGGAAATATAGACGTTGCGTTTTTTAATCTACAAGATTTTTGCCTTAAATATTCAAATACGGTTTCTTAAAACGAAATAAAATAAATAAGTAAAAGAAAATATCGAAAAAAAAAAACAATCTTATATGTAAATATGAATTTTTTTTTTTTTTTTTTTTCATGTTTCCTTTTGCCAATTATTTTTAGTGCAAAATAAATGATTTGAACTATGAAAATATTGAATACGAATTAATTATATCTTTTATAAGCACCTTTAACAACGGTTTATAAATAAGGAAATATATATAGATATAGATATGTGCTTTTATTTTTTTATTTGTCAATTTATCACAGATAAATAATATTTTATATTTTATATAGAACTGAAATATCAATTGAAATCACATAATATGAATAAGAAAGGGCATAAAGAAGCAGATGATATTATCCATAATATGGTCAAAATATTTATGGATAAGCTTATTTATTATTGTTCAAATCCTATAATTTTTTTAATGCAAAGAAATGATAGTAATAGCTTATTTGATAAAGAAATAAAAAACCATATTAATATATTTATCAGTAGGACCTATAATTCAACAAAAGAAATTAAAAAATAAAAATAATATGAAAGAGAAAAAATATATTTTTTTAATATTTTATTCTTTAACAGAACAAGTAGAACAAAATAGTGATACAAATATTTTAATTAAAAATTGTATTAATGAATTATTAGTAAAAATTTTCTATTTTATACCAGACCGTAAAATATTATTTCTACAAAAATAATATAGATATATGTTTTATTTTATTAATATTATTTTTTTTTATTTATTACCTGCCTATAAATATATTATTATTTTGCACACACATATACAATAAATAATTACCTGACTTTTGGCTATTTTTTTTTTTTTTTTTTTTTTTTTTTCCGGAAAGCTAATGATATGGCTAGCTGGATTTCCAGGCAAGCTTTTGTCGATCTGCTAAAAATTATAATCGACGAGAATGAAAACAGGAATGAACTATGTAATAATTAATGTATATAAATAAATAAATAAATAAATATATATATATATATATATATATATATATTACTTTTATATCCATTCTATTAATTTTTTTTTTATTTTGATAGGTATTGTATATGCCTCCGATTTAATAGAAAAAAATTACGAGAACTTGGATTTCTTTCAAGTTGATAATGTTACCGTTTTAATTGAAATTATTCAATACGCCATCATTTTTTTAGTAGAAAAGAAATATGAAGTGGTATAAAATTATTTCCATATATAAAGATATATATATATATATGTATATATATATAATTGTATATTTATTTATTTATTTATTTATTTTGTGTCTAACAGAAAAGTTTTCCGCTTGGAAATGAAGAATGGTTTGAGCATTTTAAAAGACTAGTATGATAAAATATGCCCATATATATATATATATATATATATATATATATAATTATTTAAAAAATCAATTTCCTGTTAACTATATCAATTTTATAAATTTCATATTTTCTTATTATATAGCTGATATCATTAAAGAGTTGCAAGTGGAAAATTTTTTTAAACCAGTTAATTGCTATAGAAACTTTTCTTTATGATAAAAAAAGAGAACATCTGAAAAAATCGTTTAACGAATTATATAAACATCAAATAGAGCTTTCTTCGATTAAAGGAAATGCATATTCAAAATGGTTTAAAATTGAAATGCCCTTATCAGTAAGTTTATTCAAATAAATTTTATCTCTAGCCCAATAAAAAAAAAAATGAAAAAGAAAAGGAAAAAGAAAAAGAAAAAGAAAAAGAAAAAATCACGTTTTGTCAATAATGAACTTTATAATTAAAAGTTATATATATATATATATATATATTTTTTTTTTTTTTTTTTTTCTTCTCTTTTAATCGACCAAATTTCCTTATGAATATATATATATATATATATATATATATATATACTTACCTACATACGTACATAATACTGACGTTATTCGAATCGAATAAGGCAAAATTGCTATCAGCATAATCAAAAAATAGTAAATAAATAATAAAATAAAATAAAAATAATAAGTCGTATGTATATATTAACAAAAGATAAAAGTATTTAATAAAAAAAATTAACTTACAACGTTTCATAAAAATTATCATTTATAAGTCTTATTTGTATTTACGCTAACACACACAACATAAAAGAAAAAAATATATATATGCATGTGTAGATAAAGCATTGCTGTTCTGGATTTATATAGGGAATTAGTTTATTTATTTTATTACTTTTTTTTTTTTTTTTTTTTGTTTATTCTTTTAATTTTCTTGATTCCCTTAAATATAATATATAAAATAAATAACCAGACTTAATATACACATATATATAATAGAAAAGGATAAAAGAAAAAAAAATTAAAAATTAAATTTATTATTAATATATATATATATATATATATATATATATAACATATACTACTATAATTTTATAACTATATTTTAATATAAAAATTTTAGTACGATTTAAATAAAATTTTATTTCAAAAGTATTAAAGTATTTTTTTATATATATATATATATAAAAAAAAAAAAAAAAAAAAAAAAGTACACCAAAGGGTATTATTAAAATATAATTATGAACTTAATTTTTTTATATTTTAAAAACAAAATAATCAAAATATTAGAATAAGTATATTTATTTTCTCTAGTTAATAAAAATATATTTCATATTAAATATATTTATATATATATAATAAGTGGTAAGAGTTATTCATTAAATTTATAAATATAAATAAAAAAATATAAATATATATATATATATATATATATAATATTTTTAATAGTATTATATATAATATAACGTTTAGAATTAGTTCATTTTAATATTTGTAAAATTTAAATAAAATAGGAATATTATTAACGTATATTTATATATAAATTATTTTTCCATAATATTTATTTTACATGTTTATTCATAGGAAAAAGTAAAAAGTAAATTATAACATTTTTAAGTGTATATATATATATATGAACATTTATTATTTTAATTTATATATTTATAATATCATTTTCTTTGTAAATTTCTTGTATGTAAATTTTTTTTTAGGATTCTCCTATCATGTATGTATAATA